TCGTTTCCATTCTTTTCTTTTTCTGCGTTCTATATCCTCTGATAGAATCTTCCAGGTTGTCTCCCACACCATCTCTGGTTTGCTTAAGCTGTCTGAAAGAAGCATGATGACAAATAGCCTACGAACATATTTTGCAGAGCACCAAAAATTGGCATCTTTAATACCCTTTATGTACTCCTTGTCATCATCTAGCAAACCTAAAGCGAAAACCGCATCCCTGAAGGTTTCGTGAACAACACCTTTCACAGTTTTGAGATCATTATAACATGTAACACCTCTGCAGATGTTTAAGAGTATTCTCAAATAATAAGCATCCTCTATTGCACGTGGAACAAAGTTAATTCTTCCAATAGCAAATCCCCTTTCTCTTGGTGAGAATTTTTTCTCTTTGCCATTCCAAGTGAACATATTTGGAATTTCTTCATATCAAAGGTTTGTTGGATCTGGAGCTTTCTTTGGTTTTTTTTTCCGATTTGAATTGACTATTGGATTTGGAATCTTCTTGTTAAGCTGAAACCACGCCAAAAACTGTGTAGCTTCAGTACTTAATCGAGTCATAACACTCTCTGTTGTTTCACCTTTCTTGTAATAAATTGGTTGTTTTCCTTGTTCATGGAAGAAAAGTTTAACAACTGGTGTAGTCCGATGGTGTATAGGAAATTTGAAAATTCTCCACATAGCTTCGCAAGCAGATACGTACCTATAAAAAATATACAACAAAATAAGTTACAATTCATATAGTTGCCTGAATGATATATATGACTTCTAAAGTAATGACGATAATAATGAAATAACCTGCAATCAAAAAAATCTTGAACTTCGTCCTTTCCCTTGGTACCAGTAGTCTTTCCCGGATTTGGATTAGAATCAGCATTTGCAGTATCCTTGTCACGTGGCTCAACAACAAATGTGACACGGTCATGACCTTTATGAACATACTTAAACAGATACTTTATTGACCCTGATTGGTTGCACCACTCAACGTTAATGTGCGCATTATAACGAAGGGATAGCTTCTCGTTGTATGGGATCACGTAACGGTTATCGCACTGAAAACCATTCTTCTCAATGTAAATACCAGTGTTACGTCTTCTATAAACTGGAAACCCATCATCATCAACCCTAGTATTGTTGGTAATCTTTTTTGGAAAAAACTTAGAGCATTTACCATTCACCATACATGGTGAATTAGGAAAACCAGCACCACATGGCCCATGAATCATACAGTCTTTAACGACCTCATACAGTTCTCGTTTTTTCACCTTATCTGGAATTTCAGCAGATATAACTTTATCAATGTCTTCTGCTGTAGCAAACTTACTGGTGGCATGCATGAACAACAATATGTGCGCATGTGGAAGGCCTCTTTTCTGAAACTCAATTGTGTACATTGCTGCGAAAAAAAAAAACATAACATATAAATCATTAAACATTTAGGATATATAAATGATAGGTGCTAATAATTTAGATAACAGATTCAAATAATAAATACCTGAAACTGTCTTCCCAAGTAGCTTCTTGGTAGTTAGATCATACATTAGGTTATCTAACTTCATCTTGAATATCCTAGAAATGATGTCTGGTCTATCGTCAGGCTTCAAATTCCTCTCTTTACAGAATCTAACTATTTCAGGCCACTTTGAATTGCAAGTAAATGTTATGAAAAGATCTGGAAATCCAAAGTGTATGCAAATAGCCATTGCATCCAGATAATTGTTGGTCATGTACCGTGGTCCCCCTGTAAAAGAAGCTGGAATCCTAAATTCTTTACCTTGATTTTCCAAATCATTGTTTCCAGCATTAGACGCATTCTGAATAGATTCTAAGTTAGAACTCCGAAACTTTGGTTGATTCTTCTTAATATATCTGAGCCTGTTTGACTCAATCATAGTGTAAGCATCAACAATGAACTGCTGAAGCAAGCGCTTGGAACGAAGTAAGACATGTTTCTCATGTTTCCTTTCTTGAAGACGGAATGCAAACCACTGTCTCATACTTACATCTTTCTGTTCCTTGTCACTGACACGGCCATTTGTTTTAGCTTTCTTGATACCAAGAGTATAACCATTTTCCCCGCGTGCGAATAACAGAGGATATTGTAGAGCAAGGTAGGATTTATGCAGTTCACTTATTCTTTTTAACTTCCCAGAAGTTTTCTGTAGAACAATATCACGTTTATCCATATTTTCATCAAAATCCCCTGGAATTAAGGCAGCAACTTCAGATGCTGATGGCATATTATAATTCCTGCCATCACCGGTGTGAGCGGCAATAATTCTCATATGAAAAGGCTCTTCTGCGTTTGTATTAAATCTGTCTCTTGCAGTTCTAAACGCCTGAACATGAGGATTGACTTGATCTAAAAGCTTGATGATACTGTCGATGATTTCCTTTTTGAACCTGTTCTTTCCCTGGTCGTTTTCAGATTCCTTCCCTTTACTAAATAAACATAGTTTGGGTTATCAGATATATTAGTGATAAACTAAAGTAAATTAGCTTATAAAGAAGAGTGAGTAAGAGAGAAAATACCTCATTATGTTGTATCTGTTGTCAACCTCGTTTTCAGTATCTACAATATAAAGCTGTTGAAACTTTGGATAGTCACCAGATTTAGGCTTCAGAGCACCTATGAGATGGTAGTTTTCACCTTGAATTGCAAACATCTTCGGCCCACGACCCTTAGTAAGACAATGATCTATTTTACCTCCAATAGATGTAAATGAGAACATCATGTTGTAAGGTCTGATGTTTTCTCTAAAATGTCTTGAGAGTTCATCATTACTGGTAAGCAAATGCCATAATAATTCAGGTGAATCCTTAAAGGATGGTAATACGATTTGACCTTGCATACAGCACAAAGAAAATTTAGGATTGTTGGTATTCCTCCTCTTGTTTAGGCGTTCCCCATACCAAAAAATAGCACCACATTTGTCACAACTATGAACTGGATCACCTTCATCGACATAAGCTAAAAAAACCAAAAAATTAATATAGGTTATAGTATTGTACTGAATTTTTAAAATTGAGTCTCATGATTGAGTTAATATGTATATTGTACCACTCTTTCTGTTGTGACGATTAGTAGGTAAAGGATTTGGTTTTCCAAAAGCCTTTTCAAACATAGTAAGTATGTCAAATTTATCTTTAGCTTGATAAATAATGTCATCTGTGATTTGAGAAACGTCGTCAACACGGTCATCTTCATCTGAGGATGCATTTGATGAATAATCTTCTTCACTACTAAAAAAGAAATCTTCTTGGTTGTTGTCTTCATAGTCTCCTATTAATATTGGAAACAAATTTTAAAAATATGATTCTTTATAAGATTTTTAAAACATGACAAAGGTCTTACCTTGTGAGGAAGCTTCATAATTTGAAAAATCAGCATCTTCATCTGTATCTGAACTGTTACCATTATCTTCTACATAACTCTGATGAGAGTGAAGGAGATCATCATAAAACTGATTGTTTTGTATTGATGATCCGGATCCTCTTGTAGTACCTGTAGACAAATACCAAATGATAAATCCCTATATGTATTAGTCATAGATATTAACATCTATCTCTTAAGACATCATCATCCACAAAAAAATAATGTGATATAGTACTAATAATGATTTATAACCTGATAAATTTCCTTTGATTCTTTTTTTGGCAGAAGATGCAGGAGCATAAGCATCATTATGCGTATAAGAAGATTGACTCAAGAGAGGAGAATCATTGATTTGAGTTGAGGTAATCTGGGATGTATTGGATTTAGTACCTGACTCCTTAAATACTGTTTATAGAATTAGCTCTCTATATTATGTCAAATAAATGAAATAGGTTCTAAACATAATTCTCAGAGCAATATTATTACTTACATGAAATAGGTGAGATATTTCTTGACCTCTTTGCATTACGGTTATGATAAGGAGTGCTTCTCTGATTTAAATTGTCTATTGCAGTGGACGACAACGGTGTTCTTTGGTTAGATGGTGATTGTCCAGAGGTATTGCGTGGTGAGTTCGATATGTCTCCCAAAACTCTTCTAAAAACTGAATTGACTGCAACATTATTGCTGACATTACTTTCTCCTGAACCTGGAACATTGTTTTCATCGATTACAGTAGATGTTGGTGTTATTCTAACAGGAGTTTGAGTGACATGAGGATCAATTTGACCCCTTGCTTCTTTTTTCTTCCTCATGAAAATGTGATTTCCTGAGGAAAAAATAGGATAGATTGTAACACAGATGTGATGATATACAAAATTTGTAGGAATATAAATGTAGATGTTTGATAGTATAACTTCTATGCTCTGTTTTACCTTATCAAAATCTTGAATTTGTTCCGTAGTATAAGAATATAACAAAGCGAGTTTTTTTACTGTATGAGAATTTATGCATCTGAGTTGGAGAATGACTAAAGCTTGGATAAATACTATTGTACCAGATATGAGAATAAAATCTTGTTAGATCTGTCGATATATTAAATATTTGAAACTATCTTTTTTAAAAATTGAGTAATTTAAGATTCTTTATAAGTAATTAGTAACTAAATTCTATACTATCATGATTGACAGGATATACTAAATGAGAAGATCAAACAACAGGAAGCAATAATCTTGGAGCATCACTGGCTTATTATTCAGGTCAGCATCATTCAGAATGATTGATAGTTGAGTAAGTTAAATTTTTGAGTAAGTTAAATTTTTTTAGAAGTAGTTACTAACTAAATTATATACTTTCATGATTGACAGGATATATTATGATAAGAATATCAAACAATAGGGAGCAAGGATCTCGGATCATCAACCTATTATTGAGGTTAGTGTCATTCACAAGGATCAGCTTAAAGTATATTTTGCTCAATATAAAAAATTCTTTCTGTTCTCTGAAATTTAAAAACATAATTAACATAAAAAAGGATATTCATAGCTTGTGCTAATAATCGATTTAAGCAATGCTTTTTTCCAAGAAAGCTTAGGAATTAAGCAAAATAAAAGTAAAACACAGATAAGCAAAATAAAAAACAACTGAACCTAAGAGTCTAATTTTACAGATACGGGAATAGCACATTGCTTAAAAAAGTTAACAAAACAAAGCATTAAAGGAAGTCCAAGATAGATCATAACATAGGTGGAATTTTCTTGATGCCATCCACACAGCTGCAAATCTTAGTTAGAATCACCCTCTTCATCAGAAACATTGTCATTATCTGAGGATGTTGTTTCTTTATTTCCAGCAGTGAAAAAGCAGCTGCGAAAATAAATATAACTAACATAAGAATATAAAAACTTGTGTATAAATAAACCAATTTAAATTTCATATAGATTGTGGAAATACATGTAGCAGTCTCTGTTAATGTCAGCGAAATTTTCATCGATGAACATTCTTGGACAACCTCCTTTCGTAATCAAGCAAGGTTTACCTAAAAACACAAAAAATTCCATAATTAGTATGTACTGAAATTTGTTGGCTATATAAACAGTCAAATATGGATTACGAATCTTAAAATTTGTTTGGAGAACATCACCTCCAAACTCTGATATCCTCCAAAAACGCAGAACAACCATGATTGGTTGATTGTGATAATTCACATCACTTATTCTTGTAGAATACTTCCTAACAAATTCTTCACAGAAACTTCCTTTTGCAACACAATTAATGGAATGGCCACTACATGTAATGATACATAATAAAAATATAATGACACTTTTGAAAATCTGTTAACTAATACAACTCATATAGACGTAGACTATATTGATTTTCCAATAAAACTTACGCAAGGTCCTTTAATGTGAAAGTAACATAGCTTGAATCCAAATCACTGCCTCCTTCAAGTAGTCTTCCAATAGGAGAGACACTCCTAACCACTCCAACAACATCTAAATATGGGAATAAGTCAAAAATTAGGCTATAAGAGTAAATAAAAAATAATATAAAAAATTTGAAACTCTAATCCAGAATCTTACCAACAACGAATTGCTTCTCTTCTTCTGATGGATTATTGATCCTTGGAAAATCAAGACACTGCAGGAATTCGGAAGTGTATTTCTTTTTGTAGTAAGCCATAGTTGTCTTCTTATTAAAAGAAAGTTGGTAAGGATGATTAGAGTTCCTTTCATGGGATGAAGGTGGGATCACATCAAAATCCCAAAGAAAGTACCACTTTCCTTCTTTGAGATTTCTAGGAAAATCCCTCTTGTATGAATCTGGAGGAGCAGAATCAATGATGGAATTGCTGGAGGAGCAGATCTATAGTCTTCTTAAGGATCTAAATAGATTTGTGGATATAGAGAAGGAATTTAGAGCAACATTATTGGTGGTATGTTAATATTGGCTCTTAGCCTTATTTTATTAATAATTTTGAAAATTTTAAACTTAAGAGATTGGATAAGAGTTTTAATTTTTGGCATTGTCCAATGGTAGTATCTTAAGTTGGAGATCTTAAGTGTATGAAGGTATGAAGAAATATAGAGCTCAGAATTAAATTGAAGAATCCTTGAACCACTTACCTTAATGAGAAACATTGAATCCACACGTTGTAGTCTTTTGTGTTCATGGTGTAAAAAAGAATTTTCACATATTACTGAAGTAAAACAAACAATTCACAGATTAATGAAGCTGAGTTTTGTCAAAAGCTTAAAGAATACAACAAATACAGATAAGAAGCAACAAAACATGTCTTATGTTATGCGGCCATGTCAGAAGTCCAGAGAGTGAGGTTATCACGAAGAAGCTGCATAATCAAAGTACTGTCCTTTTATGTTCTGCAGCATATTTCCTCTCTTGACCAGATTTGAACTCAGCCAAGTATCTATGATAATCTCCTTTCATCTTCAAAACTTTATCTTAGGAATCATAGTACATCTTTCCGATTGTGATAATCTCTCCGATGCTCCTCCATTGTAGAAATCATAGTACATCTTAGGAAGGGCATTTGAGATGCAACTTGACAGACTTGGAACCTTGGCTCTCGTTTTTTACCAAACCCAAAACGTATACCAAAGTAAAATGCAACGGAAAGCAGCCATGAATCCGATAAAGCTGGTTTAGGAAGCTCAAGAGGAACTTCCTCGACGGGAACATCCACTTCTCATGTCTCATTTGGACTCCATAGCTGGTTAATGAAGCACTTTTTTTCTGCATAAACACGAAAGAAACATTATAAGAGAAACCGAGGACTAACTCAAACTTTGGCTGTAAATATAACTTTTGAAGCTAAGCAAGAGTAGTTTGACACTAGTGAGGAAATAACTAACTAGGATCACATGTTTTGTAAAAACTTCACCATCTACACAAAGAAAACAAATATTCACGAACCCAGATTTTTCAAATCTCACGAAAATAACAAGAAACCCACAAAACCAACTATTAAATAGTGCTCTGCAGATTTTTTCTGTATCCCTCTAGGCTTTCTTTCACCTTTAATAACACATCAATTTTCAACAAATAAATCTCAACGAAACCTAACAATCTGAGGTATAGCAACAAAAACTAATCAAATTATAGAATAAAATTAAGATCCCACAAAGTTTTAATCCAAACAATAATCAACACTGATGCAACAATACAATCGGAGAAAACAATCGGATTTAATCGAAACAATAATCCCCATACTCAAACAACATCAATTCATACATGCAGAGACAGATTCCTACCTTTTCGAACCGATTGGTGAAGGAATAACTCCGATTTGTTAAAAAAATCGGAGATCTTGTGAACAGTCTCTTCGATTTCGATTTGCCAAACTCGCCGATTAGAGCTTCTCCTCTTCGCCGTGGACACCCCGCGTCATAAACATCACCGGAGTCTCCGATGTTTCCGATTGAAGTTTCCCGAAATCGGCTCTCGTTTCTCTGTTTTCGCCACGTGACCGTCTCTTAAGCCTAACTTTCGTTCCTTAGCTAAGGAACGTCTGTTAGTGTTAAAGGAGGAAATTGATTAAATATAATCACTTTTATTGCTAAGATTTTGCTAAGATTTTGCTAACATACCCCCTATAATCATGCTCTTAGTGAGGGAAGGGAGAAAAATACAAATAAAAACTAGATACTATACAATCGTGAAAGCAATGGAATGAAACAAGTACATGGAAATTTTTTTGAATTTTGTCCACTGACAACATTAAGCTGGCGGGTTAACAGGAAGTGAGCCAATTTGCCAGAGAAGACATGTTTGGAGTAGACATCAAGAAGTTTCCCGAAGCAAGGCCTAATGGTTTCAATCTCTTCAGGCGTAAGAGCTTTCAGCACAACCTTGATCGTATTGAGCTTAAAGCACATATTCACCCTATCGCCAGCAGGTTCCTCTCTATTGGCGAACAATCGGGAAAACAGCTCCAAATCAGCCATACTTCTAAACAGTAAAAAAATAGAACAGTAAGTTATGTATCAACATCAAGTATAAATAAAGAGAATAAATAGAGTATACAAAAAAAG